CCCCCCCGCCCCTCGCTGCATATTATTCTAGGCCGGCGGGCGCGGGGAGCTGCTGATTGGCCCGGATACCCGACCCGGCGCAAGACAATCGTTTCAGGCAAATGCCTCGCCATGGCGACGCTGTCAGTCAGGGGTAACCCGAGCCGCGGCGAGCTGGCTCCCCCCCGGCCGGCTTGACAGATCGCTGCGAGCCCCTCGGAGGCGGCCCCGCCGGCGGGGATATTAGCCAGCCCGGGGGAGGTTTCCGCTGTGATTGACGCCGCCAGCACCAGAGGGCAAGGAGCCTCCCCCCCCGGTGTGTGACATCGCCCCGGTGCGGCCGCTGGGACCCCCGCCCATAGGAGCCCCGGTCCCGAGCTGCCGTGGGCGGCCCCCGCCTCTGACCTGTGATCCCAGCCACACACTGATTAGACCTGCCCGGGGCGGGGTGGGAGGGGGGTAGGATGGGACATGCTGGTAGGCTTCCTTGGAGCTGAGCCTGAGTCATCACCAGCCATTTCTAAGCCGGCGACGGGGAAATCTTTGGGCACCAAGTTGTGCGAGCGGCAAAGGGCTCCTCCCGCGGCTCCGCCCGGGACGCGGGGCGGGTGACACGGCGCGCGGTGTAAGGAAAGGGGTCTGCATCGCCCAGCCACCCCGCTGCCGGCGCCTCCCGCTCTTCAGGCTCTTCGGGGCAGGGCGCTAGGCTTCATCCCTGCACTTGCAGGATGTGGCGACGAACGGATGGGTGGGCAGATAGACAGGCAGGCAGACTGGGGGATGGATAGGTAGACAGAGAGATGGATGGATGGATGGACTGACATGCAGACAGATGTATGGGTGGATAGGTAGATGGACAGACAGATGGATAGGTGGGTACGTAGATGGGTGGATGGACAGACAGGGAGATGGATGGTTACTTCGTCAGACTGACGGACGGATGGACGGACGGACAAGTGGATGGATGGACGGGTAGACAGAAAGACAGATGGATGGACAGGGAGATAGACAGATGGATAGGTAGGTACATGCATGGATGGATGGATGGACAGACAGGTGGATAGATGGTAAGCTAGGCAGACGGACGGACGGACAGACAGACGGATAGATGGACGGGCAGGAAGATAGACAGGCAGAGAGGTGAAGGATTCATTTCTAGGCAGGCGGGGGGGGGGAGGGGTACCCCACAGTAGAGGCTCAGTGGCTCGGGTGAATACACGAGGACTCGCCATGCGAAGCCCTCTCCGCAAACACAAGCATGCCCTCGGGGACTGCCCGGCAGCCCCCCTGAGGGAGCTGGTCTGTCAGGTGCAAATCTACCCTGCCTCCTGCCCGATGATGACGAGCACCAAGCCGCCGGGTCAGGCACCGGAAACCGACCCGGCGGGGAAGGGAGAGGGGGTTTCGCTGGCTCCTTCCTGCGGCTGAGGTTGCGGACTGGGCTTTATTGCACCAACCCCGGGGCAGCTTGCACGGCCTCTAAAACTCGAGGGAAAAAGGTGCCGGGGCGAGCCGGGCCGCCACGGGCTCCCACCGCAACAGTGTTGCTGAGGCGCTCGGGG